ACTTTGTTGTTACCCTACTCATGGGTTAATTAAAACATTAGTGGAGAATTTAATTTTTTTTATTATATTTTATTTTTTATAATTATTTTAGTTCAAAAGTAGGAATTTTCAATATTAATTAATTTAACCAACTAAAACATACCTTCTATCCTTGCAAAATCATAGCTTATTTGAGATTAATGTTGTCATCTAGTGAAACTAGAAGGACGGTCTTATGTCTCAATGAGACTGAATAAAAGGTAATGAAAGACTGAGTGAAAAATGAGGTCAACAATTATGTAAATATTTAAGAATTTAATTGTGTGTAAATGCCCCTATTTAAGTAATATAATATATAAGTATTGAGCATTAAACAAATTATTTATTAAACAATAAACGAGAGCTTGTCTTGAACTTTAATAAACATGTTGCCTAAAGTTCAAATTTGGTTTATTTAACCTCAAGTTAAAAAAAAAAAAATTGTTTATAAATGAATTTAAAAAATTGTGACCAAACATTAGTCAATCCGAGAGCTCTAGTGTGCATGAATACATTTACATACCTAAGAGGAACCCGAAAAAAATCCTATGGTATGGATAAACTCTAAAAATATGGAGAGATTAGAAGGGATGTTATCATTTTCATTCAAAATGAGATCTAAATGCCATTCATTTGTATCTTCAAGAAATATTTTCATTGTGTATTGATTAAAAAAGTACTGAATTAAAATGATGGCCCAAAAGTTTTAATTTAACAAGGACCTCTTTCTATTATTTACAAGCATATTATGAAGATAATGTTATCAACCAAACAAAAAGATGCCACTTTTAGAAAAACAAATCAAACTTTGAAGGAAAAAAATTAACGAGATCAATGGAGAGACCAAGCGAGAAAAAAATATAGTAGATAGAATGTTTGGCTGCGGAGTTTTAATTGATTAGAAGTCCGAGCAAAGCCAATAAAAGTGGTGGCCGCTCAAGTGAAACGAAGGAAATATAGGCAGTGTGGATCAGCGAAAGCTGCTTTGATTGACGGAGAGATAGAGACATTACAGTCAACAAAGTTCGCCAGCGCTTTCCGAGATTGGATGATATTCAATGAGTCGGCGTCGCTGCGACGAGTCGTCGGAACCAAGGCATGATCTAGAACGAAGAAACGTAAAGGGGAATATCTCCTAATTTTTTCCTATTTAGATACTTATTTTTTAGGACATTTATATATGTTGATAATGTAAATGTAGAAATGATAGGGGCTGAAAAGTTAATATTTTTCAAAATTTGTACATTGCGTTTGGACGTCCAAATAGCTTAAGAAGCCTTCAAATTTTCATAAATAGTGTTGAACTATATGTGGTAGATTCATATATGTGCCCATGATCTTAATGAATGCAAGATGATTCTTTTATTGTAGAAGGTTATTCATCTTAGTTTTTTAGTAAATGTCCACACATTATCAATAAAATATAGGGAGTAGTGAATGGTAATTTCTTTTTGATGGAAAACTATTAGAAGAGAAAAAATGATGGGGCTTTATCTTAGTAAAGATGTAATTTAGTCTAAAATATATTAGTGTAAATAATATGAAAATCAAGCACCATCTAGGAAACCTACTTTACAAAGATGCACTAATTTATTATATAAAAAAAAAGCAAAAAAAATATCTTTTATATTCATACCTATGAAGTAAAGAAAATAGGGAAAATTTAATTAAAAATAAAATTAAAAGTGATATATAATAGGGTGAAAATAGCTTGTAAATTAAATATAGACATATTCAAACAAATTAATCAAACACAATTAGGTTAATCTCAAAAAAATAAAATTTACCAATTTTAA